GTTGGTCCTTCTTGGTGGTATGCTGACATTACCCTGGATACTGTGGCTCTTGATACATCACAAAGACTTGCTGTCTTGATCACAGATGCGCCAGCAAGAAGTGCACAAACAATTTGTCCTCTTTTAAACTCTGGTATGTCATCCATAATGTTGTGTGCATTGCAATATTTTGAGCAAGACTGTGCTCTTACCCTGCTAATTGAACCTTCACACTCTGCTCTTACTGGTGCAATGTGCAATTAATTAAGATTGGCCACCAAGCTGGTCCAATTTAGCCATGAAACCTCCCACACTAAAATGACAGGTGTTTCGCTTTCATTGTCTAACCCCTGTATTACATTTTTTTGCATGTATGGACAATAATAATGATATTGTTGATAAAAAATTGTATTAATGATTTGTATTTTGCATATATAAAATGGTGCATATAACCAGGATGTAGTTGGTATATGTGTTTTTTTTTGTGTATTTTGTTTTTGGGAATCCATTATGAATTGTAAGGTGAGGCAAAATAAGCCATTGGCTTCTGCCTCTACCCATTTGGTCATATAGGGTTAAGTTTGTTTTTGTGTGGAGTGTTCTTTAATGTGACCAAATAAAATCATTCATTCATTCAATTATATACTTTTTTTTGCACCAATGCTGCCTTCTTATGGGCTCGACACACGGGGAGTGACAAACGACAGCGATTAATGGTTGTCATTGCAACCAGGGTGAAACCCAACACACGGGGCACGATAGCAATGGAAGCGTTGCGAATCGCGCTCTCGGGTCGCTTGTCTTCACGAGATTTGATTGGATCTTCCACTGCCTCTTGTAAAGTTTATTGGTGGTTCGCAAAAAAAGCGGGTGTGCATTATGGARGTGTAAACTAAACAAATCTTGCAACGCTAATGATATTGAAAAACAAATGCACGCCAAAATACGATTTTATGAGGAAAAACTTACCGGATGACTTCACACTGGCGCCAACAAATTCACATAAAGCTGTCTTTTTTAGTAATCACTTGGTCAAGGGTCATATAAAACTGGAAAGTCTGACAGAGCTAAAATAACATTGAAAGTGTTAGCTAACTGCAGTGTGTAGCATACTCTCCACTCACTGGTCAGTCAATGAAACCCTCAGTGATTGGTTGTATGCTAAGCAACAGCGACAAAAGTTGAACATTTTCCAACTTTCATATGTTGCGTCGCAAGTTTGCGTGTGCGCGTCTACGAAAAATTTTACATGCACGATTTTCGCTGGTCGCTTTGATGGAGGAGGGCGAGCGATTGTCGCCTCATCGCACAAGTCCCATAGGAAATGAATGGAGAGCGACTGACGTCGCCTCCTGTGTTGAGCCGTTTAGATATGTAGGCTGCCCATGCAAAAGGCACTAATGCAACCCCATACCATCAGAGATGCAGGAATTTGAACTTTGCACTAATAACAAGCCAGATGGTCTCTCTCCTCTTTAGTAAGGAGGATGTGTTTATGGTTTCCAAAAAAAAAAAAAACTTAATTTTTGAATTGTCTGACAACAACAGCACAGTTTAGTTCATTTAAAGGAGTTTTAGCTCAGAGAAGATGGCATCGTTTCTGGGTTGTGTCTAAATATGGCTTCAACTTAAAAATCAAGTATCACATTGCAAAAAATCATCAGATATTAAGTACATTTTTCAACATATACAAATTAGTTTTGATATTTAATAGTCAATATACTAGGGCTGTAAATAATCCATAATGTTGTTTAACATATCAGTTGCAATGAACCCACATTTTCCTAACTCCTCATCGCGATCATCTAAACCAGCTGTGAGCATCAAGGTTAGTGAGAGTCTGTTGGGTTGACCAAATATATTATGAGCATGCAGACATGAATGCATGGTACTTGAAATATAATGGCCTTTGATTTATTGCAGTCAAAGCAGTCCTTTGTYATATTGACATTGCACTCACTGCACAGTCCTATAGCAGACCCACTACTATCCACAGTTTACAGCATGCAAAACAGCTGAACACCTCAAATTTAGATTACAAAAATCATTTATCACAAATAACAGACAGTGATGAAGTCAAAGCATAAAACTTTAAAATAATCTGCAGCTTCTGTAACGTGTCACTTCTACTCATATTGAGCAGAAAGGATATTCTTAGTGATCCGATGTAAACATGTATTTCTGGACTAGAGCTCAGGTTGATGTGCTGAATGGATGCAAGTGGCTGTCTGGATGAGAAAAGACAGCAGGAGAGTCAGGAGAGGCATGCAGGTAAATAAGGCTGCAGAGCTGTCGTTGAAATGTGACTGCACTCTTCAATGTACCTCCGGTGACGTAGGAGACGTCGTGGCCTTGCTAGACTGTTGAATTTTTAATAGTATGAGAAGCGTGCAGCTTCTATTCAGAGCCTCTCTCTGTGCGAGTTGTGAATTCTGATGCCAGTGAATGAAGTGTGTGTGGGAGTGAGATTCATTCAGCTTTTCTTTGTCCTACCCCTCCGCCCCAACCCCACACTGCCCCCAAACCCAAATACCCCAACAGATGCCACTTTATGTCTTTAAGACAACAAGATGAAACGCAGCCGTTGTAATTTAAAGAACATAAATAAAGATGCATGCTATAAAAAGGGCACAACCGTCCAAAATTAAAACTCCACATTCATTCAGTCCTGACTGCATAATCACCGCAGACAGGAAATGAAAACAGAGTGGGCCAAATTAAATTGGACTTTTTTTCCTCCAACTGTCGGAAGCAACAGTTTTCAATCCTGATCKTTTTGCCTCAAAACACAGCTGCCTTTAATCCAAGAAGTAAGTCCCCACTTGCATTCGAAGGTTTACCGAAAGCTAAAAAAGCTCAGTATTTTGTACCATTTTCTAACAGAAATATTAGCAAATTATGGCACAAAAAGTTTTCACATTTATCAGACTCCTTATAAGTATTGTTTCCAGTTTGCGTGTAAAGACTTGAATAAAATTCATAAAGTTGGTGCACTATAAAGCCTAACTTCTTAGTCACATTTCAGTATATGACCTCTTTAATGCTATAACTATAACAAGATAAAAAAATAACAAACATACAAACACATAATCCCTAAAGAAGATTCTGCATTTTATTGAAATTACCTCAATTTTTTTCATCATTTATCACATTGTTTTCTGTGAAAACTACATAAAAAGCATTAACAGCTTTTTAATGTGAAAAGATATTCTACCAGTTATGGACAGAAAAAGACTGAAAGAAAGCCTTTGTGTGTATTTTTAAAGAATTTAAATCAACAAGGCTCTAATAGCCACTAATGCGGATTGAGGTCATTGCTAAAGATAGTCCTTTGTCCACAAAGTCTTTCAAGAGATCCAAGTACCAGTTTTGTGGGGTCGCATTTCAAAACACAGGGCTGCTTAAAAATTTAAAAACATGTTTGTTGTGCAGCTTTTATACATGATATCTAAATTGATCAAGACTGCCATTGAAGCAGCTTTTAAATCAACAAGATTTTATCTTTGATAGTCAACAGTTGAGAACATTAGTTGTGGATGACACACAAGCAAATAAAATTTAAAATATATTTAACACATGCAAAAAAAAAAAAAAAAAAAAACCAAACATCTCCATCACGGATTGCTCTATAATCAGATAACTTTTAAGTGTAAAACAGGAGATTTAACAAAAAAGCTTTGAAATTTTGGTTTAAAACAAGTTTCTGCCAAAGTGAAGGAAATTCCTAAATCTTTGTCTTCTCGTGAGTGAGGTGAATTTTGAGGGTAAGACTGAAACAATGCAGCTCTCACATGATGATGTCAGGCGCTCTGAATATCAAATAAATTAGGTCAAAAAGGTTCACATTATGGATGCACAATATGTGGAAAATGCACAGTTGCAACAATATCAATTGTGATAAACCTACATTTACCCAACTCCTCTCTTTTTATTTTTTTTTACTGTCATAGACCTCAGATCATAACATTCTTAAATGTTTTCAGCATTTCAGCAAAGTTCTTCCAAATCTGCTGTAAGAATTCACAATAGTGGGGATCCATCTGATTGGCAAACATATTAGTTCAGATCAGCGATTTATTATAATAGTGACATTGCACGCTACAAGATCATCTGTACATTTGCATTTGCATTAATGCATCTGTACATTTTTTATTTTTAGTCTTTTAATTTACTCTATTTTACACATGACACTCAAACATGTGCAATGTACCAAACATCATCTCTCGTTACATGCTGTACACATTTTCTTAATATTTCTATTATTTTTATTGTACATTGCTTATGTGTATATATGTGTGCTTATTCTGTAATCCTGTTGTTTATATTTATTTTATTCTAGAGTGCTTATTTCTTTCTTTCACATTTCTCTGACCTGAACGGTTGCAGCTGTAATACCTGTAATTTCCCTCGGGGATTAATAAAYMACTGTGATTCTGATACAAATTTGTGCTYTCAATAAATTTTCAATATATCGTCCAACCTTAGCTCACACACAACTTTGTTTGTTTTATTCTATTTTTCACAGGATGTGAACCTTATTGTACAATAGATATTGGGAATCGGAGCCGCTACTCTTGTATACCAACYATGATGTAGTCTTATTTTTAAATTATTAAATTAGGGCAGACTCCCAGCATTCTGTAAAGATTGTAAATCCAAGTTAAGAGCTTCTACATCTTGTTTAGACTTGGGAGATCATKAATTACAGCTGCAGTGGAAGACAAGGAGAACAACTCTCCTAACTAAAGCCTTTTCCTTTTACAGTTATGTTGAAATGAAATTTAAAAAAAAAATTAAAACCAAAAAGTATCCAGAATGTTTAACTTGCTTCTTGCAACTGATCAGATAATTTTCCGTTAAACTACCAGCTTTGATACACAGATTGCTGCAGTTACAACGGTGGTGACTTTAACAACTTAGCTACGCTGGTGGCATGGTTTTTCACAGGATTTCTGGCTGAATCAGTTACTACATTCCAATAACAGGGTTTACGACGAAGGATTTATGACGCAGGGGAAAAAAATTATATACGTTGATTGACATCTTGCGAGCTACACTGGGAACCACGCCACATGTTTACCTTTTGAACTCCGCTTGTTTCTGAGAAGAGATTGTGTTGGAAGCCCCAGGCACCGCGATCTTCGCCTCGTATTCTTTCAGTTTCTGCTTCAACTGTAAAATCTTTATAGATGTAAAAAAATAAAAATAAAATAAAAAAATCTGTCAGAAATGAGCCACAGATGACTGAGAATCAAAATACATTGATTGTGGTTGTTTCACATTACCTCTTGCTGCTGCCTCTCACATATTACAGCATACTGACCAATATGGCTGTCGAGGCTTACGACATTACTCTTGAGCTGAAAGGCAAAGGTTCAGGGTAAAAAAACAAAACAAAAAATATATATTCAGAGATTTTTRTTTGGGTACATTTACTGACAAGAATCATTGCTGTTATATCACAGCTAACAACTACATGAAAGCTTTAGCACTAACCGAGGATTTGATCTCCTTGGCCCTGTTGGCATATTTAAGTGTGTTCTGGGTGTCGTCATATGATTTGGATGAAGGGCCAACATTTGCAATCATAACCGTTCTGCAGTTGCCCCCCAAGGAGTCCTTTAGTATCCTTGTCAGCTTGCTATCTCTATATGGTATATGGGCCTTCTTGCTCTGAAACAAATGAGGAAAATTTAAGATTAGATACAAAATTCATAGTGGAGGGTTCCTAAAAGTGTGTCGGGAGAAGCGACCGGAACAGCATGAAAGTGGAGTTCTTTTGAAACTATATTAAACTGAAAGTTTGAAAGGAACAAATACTCAAACCAGGAATCCACTACTCCAGTCAAACAGGACATAAATCAAAGCAGAAAAAGAGTATGTTGTTGCTATGGTATGCAGAGGAGTGATCACAAATCTGAGCTGCGCCTTAACATGCATTTTCCATCTGGACCACAAGAGAAGCCTCGTCACATTACACTGTTTGGTGGGGACCAATAAACCTTACAAGGAACAGGATTCAGTGTTTCCCCTAGGAAAGTGGTCTTGGTGGGGGGGGGGGACTTGTTTTATAAAAACATAAATTTACGTGACTCACCTGTAATTATGGTAATAAATTTACACATACATGAATATTTAATTGCCTAACTACATCCTAGTTAAGGACTCCTCATG